TATAATTATTAATTAATATATAAAATTATATACTGTTTTATTGATATAATTTTTGTAACGAATTAATAATAATATAGTATGATTTTGTTGTTATTTTGAAAATAATGTTATGAATGTATTCTAAATAAAACGATATTATGTTATTTTACTAATAATAATACTCTCGTATTGAAGTAATAACAATAAAGTATTATTATGTTATTACTTTAAAAATAATATTACAAATGTATTCCATATAAAACAATACTATATTATTATATTAATAATAATATTTTCGTAATGAAGTAATAATAATACTATATTATTTTAATGATATTATTTCAAATAATAATGAATTAATAATAATTTAGTATTATTATCATTACATTTTTGCTATCTGGGACCGGTTGTCTTGATGGCAGTTACTGACCCAGTTTCAACAGTTGTTTTGGAAACGCTGGTCATCAGAAGAATACTTGACTACCCTTCAGGGCCGATCGAAATGGCATCGTAAGCAAACGAACATCGCAGTCGGAGACCTCGTGATAGTGCATCATCCAAATACATTGGAAATTAGGGAGGGTCGAGTTGACCCATCCGGGCTAGGATAGAGTGGTCAGAGTCGTAACTGTTAGAACAAGTGACGGGGGTTACAAACAGCCCGTCGTGAAGTTAGCAGTTCTGCCTATCGAGGATGAACAGGGCTCCTGATTTGTTCTCCTACACCAACAAGCAACAACTATCATTTCCTTGTTCCATAAGTCCACTCATTGATTGTACACTTATGTAGAGATATTCCTCAATTAGTTTTTAAGTTAGCATATAAGTCATCAACCCCATCAACTCAAGCATACTGGTTAACTTTGGAAGTCTACGTCTTCCAAGGGGGGAGGTATGTTGCCGTCACACGCAATTTGCGACGACGACGGCGTGCGTACATTGCACCGGCCGGCATGCTGCCGGTGGGATATCATATCACGCGGCCGGTTGGATATCATAACACAATCACTGATACGCGAGTTCGTCGGGTTGTTGTCCTGTTCGTGCTGTCACGGATATAGATACTATGGTTGCACAACGAGCACGGATATGACGGCTCTTAATGTTCTTATCAAGAATTTAAAAAAAGTCGCGTGATACTAGCGCCCTCTATGACCTGGTATATCATATACCCGCGATTATATAAATTATAAATATGTTTCTAAAGTTATGGTAACATGGTATAAGAGTTCTTACTGTAGAGGGCGCTAGTAAAACGTGACTTTTCGTCAGATTTGATAAGAACATTCGGCGCCGCTCTACGCTGTGATCCAATATAGGCCGACGTGCAACCATAGTATCTATATCCGTGGTGCTGTTGAAAAAAACCTCTCGTGTTTTTACCGTCGTTCACTGAACAGTGTTTGACATCTTCCTGTCTCGAAGTTATGTTCATCCGTTGAGCATCCGTCTGCCGTTGTGCCGTAATGTTCGCCGACGTGTAGACCGTACATTTTCACTCTGCTGCGTGCGTATTGTTCGCGCGCCGTGTCGTCCATCTGCCGTTGTTCCGTATTATTCGCCGACGTGTAGACCGTACATTGGCTATGAGCAATGTCAGTAGGCAACATTTAACAGTTTATTGAAGCCAATAATTTTCAATAACATTAGTCATTACTCATTACATTAATAGTTAAGAAACTATTCTTAGCTGTTTGTACATCCTGTACAATTTCTATTAGGTGTCTTAATCTTAAAATAGTAAAATTTAGAACTTATCTACACAATACACTTTTGTTATTAGATAATAACTTTACAACTTATGGGTTTTATTGGAAATATTTATTTAAATTGTATTGTAATTAAAAACAAATTTTATTTTAGTTAATTGTTGTTTTAATTTGTAATTCTAGAATTTCATAAATGCATAAATGCATATATAATATTATATAAAATATAATTTAAGTCCAAGGAAGGTCAATAAGATATACATAATATAAAATAGTTGATTTGCCTGCAGAGATAATATAATAATGTTTTAACATTTTAGCTTACAATAACTACTTTACTCTTGTGTCCTACTAACAAATTCCCCCAAGAGCTAAGGCTTTGTGTAATAAACTTACAGTTGGCTTTGGTTTATTCTTTTCTCTGTTAGACATGATTCTTAATTAACATTTAAACTGTAATATGTAAAATTGAGTAAGAGAAAAATGTATTTTCTTTATATTATTATTAACTTTAAGTACTGATGATATATCAATAACCCACATAGTACATTGTTTAGATCTAATCTATATCGGGTGTACTATCGGGCACATTGCCGTTTTATTCATCTGAATATATTATTATTGTTGTTATTATTATAATATCTTTAAATTCAAATTCTAAATTAAAAAAAGTCTAATCTTGTATAGAAAATTAATCTAACAAAGGTGAAATCAATAATTTTGTTTAAAGGTAATGGATAAGAAATGTTGGTCCACAAATTGTATCAGTTCATTTATTGCCTCGTCAAACTAATAACAACATAGAAAGCTTCCATAACGCTCTAAGAATTAATTTTTCTGTGACTCATCCTAGTTTGTGGGTATGTCATGGTAAGAAAATAATATAACATACATTGAATTCAATTTTACAAAGAATGTATAGTTGTACGGAGATGTTATTATATTTTGCAAATTAATATATAGTCAAAATCATAATGAACAGAGTTTAAGTGAAAAGGGGGAGGGTAGCATTACCAGTCACTATAGAATAATCAAAAATAATACTAATAATAATAATCAATGGTATTACCATATAAAAAGATAATTCAGCAATATTTATTAATAATAATTAATTTATCTCTTGTAGGTTTGTCGGGAGCCGGAAAAAAAGTCCGATTTAATTTTTTTCGGAAAAAAAGTCCAGTTTGATTTATTGTTTCATAAAACATATTTAAATTTATATAATTAATTCAAAATTAATAACATATATGATTGGTATGATCTAATATAATTTAAAACTATAAAGAATTAACGTCGTTACACAATCTACAGAAATAGAAGATATTAAGGTAAGGTAGATAGAAAAAATATACTAGAATATATGATAGAAAAATCGTGTACATTAAAAGGCAATAAAGATACCTAGCACAATTAATCTGTATTATAAGATAAAATATGAAATACCCAACGTATACAATATTGATGTTACGATAACGCATAAGAAATCCAGTCATTTTCCACTCTCGTAGTTATTCACATCGAAATGGAAAGAAGTAAGGAAGAAGTAGTAATTTTGAAATCGGGTAAAAAAATTATTTGTAATGGTTTTGCTTACACAGTTAATCATAATCTGTCAACAAGCATCCGCTGGAAATGCTCTCAAAGATTATCTAAAACGTGTCCGGGTATTTTAATCCCTTCAAAAAGTAAATTACAATAAATAAATAATAATAAATTAAAAAAAATTATAAAAAAAAAATTACCGTAGGCATCACTAACCCTCAGTTAATCAAGGATCATTCACATGCTGGTGATCATAATTTAGCGACAGTCGAGAAAGCTAAAGAAGACGCGAATAATCGAATGAAAATAACAACAAATAAACCATGCCAAGTATTTTCAGCTGTAGTAAGTGAACTTCCTCAAAATTGTTTAAAATCATTTAGTTCTGAAGAAAGTATTAAACTTACACTTAGAAACTATAGAAACCGAGGTATTCCACCGAAACCCAATTCTTTGGCTGAACTGACAATTAAAGATGAATGGGCACTTTACAAAAACTAACGGTTTTTGCTATATGATAATAAATTAAATTCCGATGACAGGATAATTATTTTTGCACTTGCCGAAGGATTAAAATATTTAACTGAAGCACATATTTGGTATTGTGATGGTAATTTTTCGTTAAGTCCAGAAAACTTCCTGCAGTTATATGTTTTTGGAGTATAAAAATATGATGCTTTGGAACTGTAGTTAACTGTTTTCTTCAAAAAAAAAAAAAAATTATAGTACTTACAAAGAAGTTTTTAGCGTAATTCTAAAAGAATGTGACAATCTACAATTTTGCCCGGATCCACAAATTATAAATTTAGATTTTGAACAAGCTACTATAAATGCCACCCAGTGTGTTCTCGGCGAGCACGTCCGTATACAAGGTTGTTTTTATAACTTGTCTCAAAGTACGTATCGCAAGATACAAGAAGTAGGATTACAAGCCAAATATAAAACGGATGATACATAAAGTCATGTTTTTGCTATGTTAGACGGGTTAGCATTTTTGCCAATGAATAAAGTTTACGACGGAATGCAATATTTAAAGAAGGTTTGTACCAGTGCCGGTCTGGCTTATGATTGGGCCCCCGGCATATTAATTTACAATGGGCCCCTCTTACAAAAAATAAAAAACAAAAAAATAATAATAATAATAAACAAATTTAAAATAATACTTTTAATATTTTTTAAAATAATAATCTCTTCAATTCTTGACTAAAAGATGCTAACTGATCAATTATTTCATCTTTTTCAATAAATTTGATTAAATCTTCTTCGACAAATAAGGACATTAGTGGTTCAAGATGTTCTTGATTGATAGACGATCAAAAGGTTAATACTTATAAAATATCAATTAAATATTGTTATTTATTATAGATTAATACAATTTTCAATACCTAATTACTTGTACATATACATGTTTTTATTGGTTATTTTAGGCACTAAATTCATTCAAAAAAGGAAGAACATTAAAGATCACTATACTAAAAGTGAGAAAAAAAATGTAAATCAGGACAAACTGCTAATACTGGGAGACGGTACATTTATGCACAACAGTTGTCATTCTTACAAACTGCTGGTGCCACAACCAATACTCAGTCTAGCTTAGATCATGAGGCACTATTGGACCAGCAAGATTCAATGGACCACCAAAATTCAGTGGACCATCAAGAGTCACATTACAGTAACTTAGATTTAGATGGATCAGAATGCCCTCCTCGCTATAAACATAATTCTACAAAGAAACGTAAAAATGACATAGAGTCTTCCTTGGTAGAATTTATGAATACTCCAATTCCTACAACTCAACCAATTGTTCCAGAGATCAACCCAGATAGATCTTTTTTTGAAAGTTTACTTCCGTCTATAAGTAGTTTCACAGAAGACCAAAAGTTGGAGTTTCGTTGCGAAATACTGAACATTATTAAGCGTATGAGGAATCAACCAGCTGTACAGCAATATGGATATCCACAAATCAACCCACATTACAAACCCGCACATGGATATGGTCGGAATACGTATCCATATTCCAGTTACATCGAGCTTAATCGTCCCCCTCAGCCAAATCAATGCCCCACGCCAATTACACAATTTCGAACACCTCTTTCTACTCAACTGTCTCAAACAACCAGCACTGGGGTTCCTACAATATCTCCAACATCCTCAACTTCAGCATCTATGGACAACCAGTTTTACAGTTAAGAAGATAGCATAGACCTTTTTAGAGATTAATAAAATAAAATATTGAAGTAATATTTCGTTTATACTATAATAATTTTTTTTTTCCTGTATACCTCCATTTTTACTACGCGAACACGGTACTGACGAATGTTGGCGAAATACTGGAGAGCGGTTTCTAGTACAAAAAACGCTCACGTGTACATATACGGCCGCGGTACCGCAGCGGCACCGCGCGTTTAAAAACCGCACGTGTGCATCGGGCCGAACGCTTTGGGCTCTATGGCCGTAACAATTAACAATACCAATAACGGCAATAACTAATGAATAATAAGCAAGGCCGTAACTGGTGGGGGGGTCCAGGGGTCCGGACCCCCCCCCAAAATTTTTAAAAGTAGAAACATTTTAGCGGTGAATATTGTTTTAACTATACTAAAACTATACCTAGAAAAAATGTTAGACCCCCGAAATTTTTATCCAGTTACGGCCTTGATAATAAGTACATGTTTCAAAGTTTGCGTTACAATTAAAACCGTATTGCACTGTTGAGACGTTGAGTAGAGCGGTTAGGCCTGAATGTATAGCCAGCATAAGTTTGTGTGTCTGCATGTCTCTATATTATATCAGTGTATGGGTTTATCACTTAATTATTGTGAAATTATTGTAAATCTATTTTTGTTGAGCCAGTGCCGACCACGACTTATTAGCCGTATAATTATATATTAATATATATATATAGGAATATGGCATAAATCTAAAGATATTACATCGACTGTCTAAATATAGCGTTATTGTTATAGCCGGCCTCAACAATTACAATGTTCAATCATCCATTACATATACAGAATACAGATATACTAGTATTTTTATAACCAATGGTTCAATGTTTACAAATAGATTCGATTGAAACCCGAGTCCAGAATCGCAAGTACACCTATATTTTTTTTCCATTTTTTTTTTTATATATATATTTCGATATGGGCCCCTAATATATAAAAATGTCCAAGGGCCCCAGGCGATCGTCGGGTAGCCGGGTGGGCCATACCGACACTGGTTTGTACAGAAGAAGTTACCGAGGTTCTTGATTATTTCGATTCCACATATGTCAATGGTACATATAGAAAGTCAGGAAAAGGTATGACTATAAAATTAAAAAAAATAAACCGTTATTTTCACCAGAAATATGGAACGTTCACGAGGCTACGATAAACGGTCAACATCGTACAAACAATATTTGCGAGAGTTGGAACAACCGTTTTACGCATCTTGTCGGACACGCACACCCAACCGTCTGGGAGTTCATTTCTAAAATGCGTGAAGAGTTAGGAGTAGATAGAGCTAAAATAGCGTTACAAGAATTAGGTGAAGGGATTCCAACACCTAAAAAACATAATCGGTGAACGTTTAAAAAACTTATGTTCTAGAGTGAATGACGAAATATTGGTGGAAGAATTTTTAATTAATATTGGCCATTGCATTCGAAAACGAAATAAATATTAGTTTTAAATTTCAATTATTTATAGTTTTAAATAAAATTGATATTATATATTATGCATTTAGTAATTTAATTTTTTTTTATACATATATTTATTATTTTTATTAATTATGAAACACTATTTTTTATGAAACAATAAATCAAACCGGACTTTTTTTCCAAAAAATATTAAATCGGACTTTTTTTCCGGGATTCAGGTTTGTCTACCAAATTTAGTTAAGTTAAAAATTGTATATAATATTGATCTCCACTAAGTAGAAGTAATGAATGTAATAATATTAAAACTTGATAGTCAATATTATTGCTAACATGGAAAAATATTAAATAGAGTAAAAAAAAAATAGTTAATATATGAAGGTGGAAAATTCATTAATATTAATTTTGATTTTTGATCTATGAAAAGGGCATAACATACTTCTTAAGTCGTGTAAATGAAATAACAGTTAAATTTAAACGCAGAAGATACAAGTTATTTAAATAAGAACTATTAATAAAACATATTTAAAAACCGAATTAAATAGAGAAATAGAGTAAAAGAAATTATTTGATTGAAAAACTGTTCGTACGCAGGCCGTCAGCCCACCGGTTTCGGGTTGACAACGCGCCCACCGGTGGCGCGAACGGCACAGAATCATTTCGAAGTTCACCTTACCGTTACAGCGCGGCGGTCGACCTTTTTTTTCTTGCGTGCCGCGTGGCGCGGTAGGCGTTGCCTGGTTTTGTTTTGTTTCTTTTCGTCGAGTCGACCGTCGACGAGACAAATGCTCCGTTTTACGTCGCATGTACGAATTCGTGGTCGTGCTAGGGCACTCGTCACACGTTGTGACCATTCTGTGGTGCTACAAACTGCTGATCCGATTGTTTTACGTCGTCGTCGTCGCCATTTAACGCGTTGCGTGTTGGCGAACGCCGACCAAGATACAACCGTTCGTTCCGGCGGAGGATATTTTGATGTATCAAGTGTATGTTAAGTAACATTATATTGGTACTAGATACCTAGCCGCTGCGCATAGCGCATAACTCAGAGTCATCCATGTTTTTCTTTTATGTGTTCTCTAATTACTGTTTGAGTTATGTATCTTAGCATTTAAGAACCTAAAGGTGGGTACACACCGCAGCGTTTAGCTGTAATGTAACGCCGTAATGTAACAGAGTTCGTGCTCACCTGAATGTTACAATGTTACAATGTTACACGACCAGTGTGTACGATAGAGTCGAGCGCTACCGTGTATTTGGTTGTTCGCCGGTCTATCCATCAGTTATTCACAGTTTGTTCTCGAGTTAGTTCACATCGTGTACAATGTCTTCTGTTAGAAATTTACAAGTCGCTAGCGCATCATTTATTTTAATTCATTCTATTTTAAAAAAACGAAAAAATAAAAAAAAAAGTGAAAGAAGATGGTGGCAAACAAATTTAATGAAGTCTAGGGACATATGTAGTGGATCAGATTTATTAAATTGTCTTCAGGAACAGGAAATAAGTGGACAGTACAGAAACTTCATTAGAATGTCGTCAATTGATTTTGAATATCTAATAAATTTGATCGGTGAAAAAATCTCCAAAAAAGATACGAATTTCCGAAAAGCCATTCCTGTGAAAGAAAGATTAGCTGTTACGCTACGATTTTTGGCAACTGGTGATTCCTATCAAAGTTTGCAGTACCTGTTTAAAATGTCAAAACAAGTTATTGGACAGATTGTTCCCGAAGTATGCCAAGCAATTGTGGAAGCTTTAAAAGAAAATATACAAGTATGCATGTTCTATGAACATTTTGAATTATATACACTTTTTAAAGTTTCGAACATAATTTAAAAACAAATCAAATATAAATATATTTTTCCTGTTTAATTTTTATTAGTATTAATAATACAAATAAAAATGATAATACAAGTTCTTTCTTTGCTTATTAATAATAATTATTATTATAATGATAGTAAAATAATAACAAAGAAATAAAATAACAAATGTCAAATACTAATATAAACAAATAATTATAATACTATTGATAATTTGTACTTTTTATCCCTGTATAAAAACAATTGTAATTTTAATAAGATATAAAAAAATAATAATATTGACGATTTAAGTCCCTTTTTCTGTTTTTTAACTATTAATTATAATATTAATAAATTTAAAAAAAATAATAATAACAAATGTTAATAAATGTATTTTACACTTATTATAATAAAAAAAGAAACAATTACATTTTAATCGAACTTCTTAAAATTTTGTTTAATTTTAATTAAGATCATAGGCATTATGAGTGGGGGAAGTGTTAGTATTATAAGTAGGAGGCGGAGGGCTAGGATTGTATGTAGAAGACAAAGGACTAGGAATATAAGTAGAAGGTATAGGGCTAGGATTGTAGTTAGAAAGTGACATATGAAGAGGATTCATATTATTAGCAGGATAGTTATATTCATAAAACCCCTGGCAAGCTTTAAAAATGATGTTACCGAACTCATGTTGAACAGCATTTCTTGTTTGTGGGGAAAAACTTTGTAGCTTAGTTTCTATGTATTTTCCATACGCACTACATTCCGTTTCTTCTACCGGTTTTGCCGCAGCAGTTAAAATTGAAAATGCCTGGTCAAGCATAACATCATCATCTGTTTTTTTCTTTTTTTTTTGGATGAGATGATGGAGTATTGAAAATCACTGAATCATTTAAGTTTTCAGTGGACTGTAACACATCGACTTCGGGTTCTTTATTCTGATTTTCAATTTCAACTTGTTCTGTGACGACCTTAAGTATACAAAAAAAATAACGATTTACAATCAAACGAATTTTGAATTTTGTTATATTTATATAGTACATAGTAATATACTACATGCAATGTTTTTAGAAAAAATTGATTATCCATGCCATATGCAACCGCCAACCCGTCCTAATTGAAAAATAAATTACTTGAAATAAAATAATAACTGCAATATTTAAATACAATATATCCTAGACTGACAAATCATCTCCGTTCAGAATCGTTTTTCGTATACAATGATAACTATCATTGCATTCAAATTTAACAAACACATTATAGTGCCCTACTCTATGACTGAGGTCCACCCCACCCCCTAATGTACAGCAGAGCGACATCCATTTTTTAAAAATAACGATAAAATTTTTTTGGCCGGCCAGAAAATCTTTAAATTTAATACAAGGTTTCTTATAAGTTGTTCTTAAAGTGATAAAAAAAAATCCAAAATCGTTGGTCACAATTTTTTTATAATTTTTTATTTACAATGATTAATAAATTTCGATGTTTTGATAAATTTTGTCAAAATTCAAACTTTAAATGCTTATAAAAAAAAATTGTGACAACTGATTTTTAATATTTTTCATCTTACTTTGAAACAATTTATTAGGAGCCTTCTATTCAATTTTCAAGAACCCAACAAATAAACTAATATTTGAACTTCAAACACAGTGATAATAAATACAATTTAAACAATAAAAAATTTGAAAAATAAAATTCGAGTACCCATATTTAATATTTTCTTCTAAATTGTGATAATTTTTATACAAATATAATATATTATTATTTAAAAATTTAGATACCTACGACATCTGAAGGCTGGTTAGCTATTTCAGGAGGTTACGAAGATCGTTGGAATTTTCCCCATTGTTTAGGAGCAATGGACGGAAAACATGTAGTCCTACAAGCTCCATTTAATAGTGGAAGTGAGTATTTTAATTACAAAGGAAATTTTAGCATTGTATTATTTGCACTCGTTGATTCCAACTATAACTTCATTTACGTAAATGCCGGATGTCAGGGTAGAATTTCGGATGGCGGAGTTTTCAAAAATTGTGAGTTATATAAAAAAATGGAAAACAACTCGTTGAATATACCAGCCCCAATACCATTACAGGGAAGAGAAATACCAGTGCCATATTTTGTACTTGGTGATGAGGCATTTCCACTGAATGAACATGTCATGAAAGTGTTTTCGGGTTTACATCCCAAAGGTTCTGTTAAAAGAAATTTCAACTATCGCTTATGCAGGGCCCGCCGTGTTGTAGAAAACGTTTTCGGAATTTCATCTTCGGTGTTTCGTGTTTTACGTAAGCCTATGCTATTGGAACCCGAAAAAGCAGAGGTTGTAGTGATGGCTGTAGCACACCTCCATAACTTTTTAAGGAAAAGTATGAATTCCGTGAACATTTATACCCCGAGTGGCACATTTGACAGAGAAGTTGGTGGACAGATAACTGAAGGAAATTGGAGATCAGAAAACAACAACATGACGTCTTTATTACCAATCCGGAATATGCCTCGTAGATCGGCGTTGGATGTAAAAGAACTTCGAAACGAAATTGCAAATTATTTTGTAAATGAAGGGGCGGTTTCGTGGCAAAGTGACTACGCATAATTTTATTTTATTTTTTTACTGGTACATATAGTGTGTTTTATTAATTTTTATTTATAATTATTATACATAATGATTATACATTTAATAAACATAATACATTCATACATTTATAGTTTTTACTTACAGTATCTAATGTAGGTCGTGGATTGTCCTTATCCATAATAAAGGCAAAATGTTTGAATGCGAACCATGTGCTCTCATAAACTTCGTCTGTTCCTTGTATAAAAATATAATAAAAATATATTATAAATTGTTACTCTACGTAGCTACCCAGAAGAGTTGTCAAATTTATCGAACTTTTTATGTTAATTGTATTTTAAATTAATTATATATTGTTGAATTATAATTGTATATAATTTGCACGGAGGTAACTACTACAAAGTCAAAGTCACAAATTATGAATGAACACGCGCGATTGCGGCGTCCGAATCGCCCGTGTGTTATTAAAAACCAAAATGAATGGAAAATACATTGGGAAAGTATTGTTTAATTATAGTTGAGGAACGTTCAAAATTAAACATGCGCGTTCGAACGCGACCAAACGTGCATCTCATTGCCGTGTGTGAATAATCCCATATAAAGGTACATGTTTAATTTTAAATACTGTTAAACAATAAAGTTTGATAACGTGTTAATTGTTATTAACATCAAAGTTTCAAAACATTTTAATTTTAAGCAACGATTAACACAAAATGTTATAACGTTTTGATTCTGAATAACGAAAACGAAATATTTTTTCAAATTCAAGCTCTGATTATTTTAATATTTATAAAAATTGTTTTATAAGTACCTGTGCCAGTTCTCTGACTATTTTTCGTCTTCATTTTTTCTCGTCGAAATGATGCATTAAGGCTGGTTATTTTTTTCCTACATTCATCTGGTGTAATTTTCATTTCTTTGGCCAAATCATCCCACGCATCGGATTTCGCAAATTTGTTGTAATACTTTGGGTCCTTTGGGAACCATAGTACCGGTTTATTTTTGTAGCATTCAATGAGATCTAACACTTTTTCGTTAGTCCAATTCATTTCAAATTAATTGATTTAAATAAAACACTTATTGGTAAAATTTAATTGAGTCAAATAAAAGTACTGATATGAGGATCAGCGATCAGGGCGATTCGCTGCGAGCAACTAGTTTACCGTACACACTAGCAGCGAATTGTAATGTAACATTCCTTTGATGTTCGTCAAAATACCGACACTCGGATGGATCGACGGCGTCGCGAGCCGAGCGCGCACGAATGATACAGTAACACCGTACACACTTGAGCATTACAGTTACATTACAGCGTTACATTACACCTAAATGCTCCGGTGTGTACCCACCTTAAGAGCGCCAGATTTAATTATTGTCGTTCTATTATACTTGTGCGCCTCAGTGCCTTGCACCTAATGTCCTAATCTGAATCAATTTGTCTACGAGCACGGTTCACCGTCAGGGCATCTCAACTATTTAATACATCGCGAGTCGGTGTCGCCAACCGCCTACGTCGTAGTAGCGATAGCGGCGAGTAAACAAAAACAAAGGACAATTTTTAAATTGGGTCTATCCCGATTTTGAATTGGTGATAGAGTATGTTGTTGATTTTAATATTTGTTACCAATTATTCAAATATTAAAATGTTAAGATAAAGATGACTATGGAATGTTTTTTTGCCCATGTAGCTTTCTATGTAACAAGTAGAAAAATGTATTGAAGTAATTTATATTTAAATATACATGAAGTTTTGAGAAAGGCAACCGGTTATTTTTAGTTTATGGTATTGGCAAAGCTGCAGCCTCCCTCACAATTATTAACCATAGTTTCTCCTATATTTATGTAGTTATGTGTATATTTATTTATATTAATATTAATACACTATTTGATAAGTCGAATAAATATAACTTACACTTAAGAAGATAAGAATTACTACGAAGCATTACAAGTTACAACAAAGAATGTAAGCGTTGGGTTGAGTGGTCTATAGTCTATACTGGACCCCTGACTGATATTTGCATTCATAAAACATGTTAAAAACTTTGTCAGTTATTTTTATTATGCAATATGCATAACATTTTCTAGAGTTCTCAGATGTCCACTTATCACTTAGGTCAATATTACTTTCAAATTACATTCATAGGTACTTATTATCTATAAATACAAATTAATAATAATACTAATATTTATTTAATGTTCCTACTAAAAATTAGCTGGAACCGGTACCTTTATTTTTTTTCATCAAAGAACTAGAACCGAACCGGAACCGTTATTTAATTTTTTGGAGAACCGGTACCGGAACCGATACCGATATATTCAAAAGGTTCCAGTCCCTGGTCTAAAGCATACCATATCACTACATTTTGACATTTAAAATTATTAGTGCAAAAATTTGCACAATGAAAGTTTGAAAATATTTTTTTTTTTAATTTTTACTTTTAGCGATGTAGCCTTGAACTTTATTGAACCTTTCATTAATTATATTAAAAAAATTAAAATTAAAACTATTTTTAAAAAGATAATATATTTTATAAATAATTTAAATGTAAAGTAGGTATTACACATTTTACCTATTTAATGTACTTATCCAATGACACACAATACCCAATGAAAAAAATTAACGTGTTAATTTACATTTAATTAAAAGTTAATTTAGTTAATTTATACTTTAAAAAGTAAGTTTTGAAAAGTTTAAAATTATAATTCGGCATTTCCCAGTAAAAAAATTATAATTCTTTGCGTTTGCAATATACGAATCATGGCCTGATACGAATTACGAATAATTCAAATTTGAGGTTATGTTTTATTATATTTTATGCCATGAATTAATTTTTTTATACCATGATTTACTTCACAATACGTCGCAGCTTATGCGCCGTATTATCTTGCTGACATGCCTGTCTATTTAGCCATGAACCATACGGCTTCCATGCCATGACACGCCCAACGTTGTACTTTGAACGGAACAAATGCGTTTCATCCACTTCAACGATATCATTCTCATTGCCTAACATTTGATAGTCGTGGTTCGTGGTTCATTATTTTAGTAGCTACGTCCCTAAAATACTCTGTATACGCTACCGCTGTTTCTATAGATATGTTTACCTATATTTCAAAAACATGTTTATTTATTTAATTAATTAAATATATCTTATTGTTAGAGTATATTTATAATCAAAATAGACATTACTGTTGTAAATAGCTAAATTTTAGATTCTGAGTGGAGCGATGAATGTGTTGATTTTACAATGATGTGTTTTTTATATATTTTTTTTTGTGCAATCATCACGGTTTGGGGCAGTAGAAATGGTTCGATTTTCTTCAACAGCATATTTTCTGGTTGGAAAGTTAATCTAGTTGGTGCATTCGGGGGGTCCAAATGTAAAATTCCCAATACTTTTCAAAAGCAATGGGAAAAATAAGCAAAAAATTAAGGAAATACAGTAGTTTTTACACAATACCAGTTTTCGAAAAAAATGATTTTGTTTTTTAGTATTACTATGAAAATTAAAAATTTTTGTTTTTATATCTATGATTTAAAAATTGAATAGTAGATTCTTTATAAGTCTGTTTACCTAAATCAAGATGAAAAAATTCCGCCGGAAAGTCAAATTAAATTTTTACAACATTGGTTATTCACTTGATTTCTCTTGTATCGATTTTCTTTTCTTATTTTGTTAAAATTCAAAAACAAATTACTGTAGACACTTGAAGTTTACAACATATGTTTATTTCATCAGTTCATATACTTGATAAAATATTTTGACTCATTTTGAGCTGTTGATGGATATTTTAAATTAATTGAATCATTTTGAACAATCTTTTTTGGACATTGATAGTGTCTATGTTTACCATGGGTTTTAAATACCGTTTTATAATATAGGTAATGTTGTATTATCGAATGTATGAAAAAGACACTGTTGTTTGTAGTGCTATTGAGATAGATTGTATTTTGGGAACAAGTCTAGTTTACCGGGCACCTTTTTTTTTGAATTTTTTTTTTTAAAAAGGGTTGTTTTTACGAGTTAAGGACGATGGTGCATAAAAAAATTTGCGGAAATGATTGTTTTGGAAGTTATAGCCTCCCAAAGTTAACGATTTTACGTTTATACGCATGCGCGCAGCACTACTATATTACCACGCGGAGGACCTCGAGATTTTTTATTTCAAAAGTTACAAGTCACATTTTATTTTATTATGTTTAATTTTTATTAACTCTTCAAAGCATTCATTTTCATCAGTTTCACAGTCATTTTCATCTTCATCTTAATCTACAATTTTGTATTCGTCGTCAAGTTGTTTGTCGTTAATATTGTACAAAGCACCTGCATGACGGAAAAACTCCACTGTCGGATCTTGTTTTAATACACGGCACTTCTTCAGGAACATGTATTTCGCTAAGTAACCGCCATCAAACTCTTTTTGTCTCCTATAGTTAGGCATAGACACCTTTGCGTGGCGCCAAGTAGATTCGATTGTATTAGTATGTGCACCAGTTACAGGATCCTTAAAATTTAGAGAGTGGTTGACCTTAAGATGAACATAACGTTCATTTTCGAGACAGTCATAGGCCTATTACTTATTAATAATAATCTAATTTTAGTTTTATGTTAATGTTGTTGAACTTTTATTTATTACCTTCCAACAATCCGAAATGATTGTTGTACCGGGCTTAATCCACTCTTTAATTATTTCTAATAAAGTGGAGGACGATCTATCTTCTACTGGGATAAGAAAACAAGAACCGGTTTCCCTTTCATATCCTCCGAACACCACTGTCCTTCTACCCTATGTCGACAGTGGTACTTCCTTTTCCCAAACTTTGATTCATCAATTTCTACAGTTCTGTCTACTCCGCCCAACAAGCATTTTTTGACGATCATACCGTCAAAAGTGACTTCCCGCAAAAAAGAATTCCAATCAGCTACTGTGTTCTTGGCAAAACGTAATTGGTTTTGCATAATAAATGATAGACAATTCATCGTCCACAAATATACAAAACCACATATATCTAGTAAGGACAAATGTGACTAGGCAAAGAATGTACCTTTTCTAAGAGATGAACTATAATGAAAAAAAAAACAACAAACCCTAATCTTAGCTCTGTGCATACTTTAAAATAAATTAAGAATTACTTACCTATAATTGCGACATTGTTTTTGTTTCTTTTTTGGATCGTTAACCAAACTCCGACATTTCCATTTAAATTTATCCAAAACAGTTACATCACTTACGAGTGTCATATCATGCCCACGTATTCATTTGACATTTGTTTGAATTACACCAAAATCCATTAACTTTTTTATTAATTTTAAACCATTATCCTCTAGCTCAAATTGTTTAAAATCAAATAAATTTAGATGCTTACTGACTGCCATCTTAAAAGCTTGTGTAAGTTTTACATGCAATGAAGCGACATACATTATAGTATCGTAAAATGATTATTATAATAACAAAACAATTATATCGAGCACAGATAAATATCCTATGGTATACCCAATTAAATAACTATATTCCTATTCATATTATAATTATGTTATTAAATATATCTTTTATAGATAACTAAATTACCTATAGTTAATTACCTACAGTAAGCAGAGCAGTGATTCGCTGCAACACGATTGCGCAATTTTTCCTTTTTTGACCCGGTTAATTACACCACGATTGCGCAAAAAATTTGGAACACGATTGCGCCCCGATCCCTTTTTACCTGTTAAAATCACAACACCATTGCGCACCAAATGATATGTGTATATACTATATACTATGTATAATAATTTATATACAACATAAAATAATGTATACATTCAATACATTTTCATATACACGCACTTGAACCATATAACTAGTTATTAGGTCTATGACTTAAACTTATTACCTATTAATAATATAATATCAACAAACAAATAATATTGAGTATATTGACTTTAATATAATTTATAATTCTATATATTTTCATTTGAAAAAGTATGTATTGTATGTATATTGTATGCATTATTTTATGTTGTATATAAATTATTATTTATAGTATATACACATATCATTTGGTGCGCAATGGTGTTGTGATTTTAACAGGTAAAAAGGGATCGGGGCGCAATCGTGTTCCAAATTTTTTGCGCAATCGTGGTGTAATTAGTCGGGTCAAAAAAGGAAAATTTGCGCAATCGTGTTGTAGCAAAGTGATAACACAGTTTGCGGCACTCGTCGCTCCGCTCCGCAAGTCGAAAATATCCCCCGACTTGCTATGCAACACCACCTTAAGTAGGTTACAGGGGAAGTTATATCGTAGTATATGGCAGTGTTACACAGTTAAAGTATGAAAAAAATTAAAAAAGTCCTCCGGTCGCCAAACTCTAGGTCCTTGCGCGGCATTAGTAGTGTTGCGCGCATGCGTATAAACGTAAAATCGTTAACTTTGGGAGGCTATAACTTCCAAAATAATAATTTCCGCAAATTTTTTTTTGCACCATCGTTCTTAAATCGCCAAAACAACCCTTTTGAAAAAAAAATTTCAAAAAAAAAAGGTGTCCGGTAAACTAGACTTATACCGTATTTTGGTTTGAATTATACGAGACGGCCCCTGTTTGTTACATTGTTCAAAATATTTTGGTTTATTAATAATGTTTTCATTTTCTTTATTGTGTTGTTTTGCACTTCGAATAACAAAGAAAATACTTGGTTTTTACCAAAAACATTAAAATAATCATAAAATGTAACATTAACTACACACGACGATATGTTAAATTATTATTATTATTATCATAGATTTGTTCTTTTTATATTATGATAATAATTATTGACGTCACGCATCTGCGTGACAATCAATTATCAAATATTCCAATGGTACAAATGTACAATATTACAATACAATGGTATAATTATGTAAACCAAGTGTATCATAGAAAAGTGTTACTTGTCTATTTAGCCACTTTACACAAAAAGAACAAAAACGACCAGTGATAATATTATAATCTTTTATTTCAGTATCTATTATTTTTTAATACTAAATTATTATTTAGTAGCTCAAAACCCAGATGGCACGTTAAACCATTTCTAAAAGAAAGGAGAGTGCATGGGCATTGGCATTGTTTGACAAGTGAAGTTAAATGAAGTTTTAATGGGATACTTTAAATACAAAATTATGTAATGTTTGTAGTATTCTGAGTAAACTAACAATAGGACATAATTAAGATAAATTGTATATTAGGTTTATAACTTATAAGCTATAATAAGCCAGTCTGGTAATTGGTATGTAGTAAAATATAGTCGTTATTTTAATAAATTATAACTTCCTATGATAGGTATTAGTTGTACCAGATACTAAAAAATGGGCACAGTTAGCTGTCGAGTTTGAAAATAAATGGTGTCTACGCATGCAATCAATTCAATATTTTGAATTCCCGCCATGTGCGGTTAGTATATGTTTTATTTTATGTTATCGTTTTCATGTGCACGTAGCGGTGCGTTCCACAGTTGCAGCCTTCGTCCGAGGACGCTTATTAGGCGTTCGTGTGCGACCGGCCAGCTGTGGAATCATTATTAATGTTTTCATATTTTGTCGGTTATGTTCAAAACTTTTTCATTTAGTCATGCTTTCAGTGTCACAAAGTTCCTAGTTTTTCCATTGTTTATTGTTTAGTGTGGTGGCACTGAAAGGCCATTCATTTCGTTTTTTCGTTAGTTCTCGACCGTTAAATGATCTTCACTTCATTTTTATCCGTTGCCCAGTCAGCTTATTTTCGTGTTCGTACAACACTAGTTTCATGTTCTGTTTGCAGTCGTCCGAAACCACGTTGTTGTGATTTTGTGAATCCATCGTCTGGTAATTATCGTTCCGTGCATTTTCATTGCCATCAATAATTTGTTATTCCCTAGTCTAGGGTAGTCAAATTACCAGCGATTTTTCAAGAGAATTTTAAATAGCATACAAGATAACATCACACCCTACGAAAAAATAATCTACCATACAGTGGAGCCAGAAATCACAGAGCCTACATTGGATGAAGTTAAAACGATAATAAATTCTCTTAAAAATATTAAATTCCCCGGAGAGGATAATATAAATTCGGAGTTAATAAACTGGTGGGAGAACAATTAACTACTGAAATACATAAACTAATTTATAATGTATGGATTAGAGAAAAAATACCAACGGACTGGAATATGGCAATCATCTGCCCGATTTTCAAGAAAGGAGACCCAGCGAAAGTTGAAAATTACCGAGGAATCTCCCTATGGATACTAGGTACAAGGTTCTGTCTCTGACAATCCTCAGCAAACTTGAAAAATATGCAACGGATATTATTGGAGAATACCAAAGCGGATTTATAAGAGGGAAATCAACTACAAACCATATATTTACTATTCGACAAATTATGGAAAATTACTATGAATACAATAAAGAAATCCGCATGATTTTCGTTGATTTCAAGCAAGCCTACGACAGCATAAATAGAGACCAGTTATGGATTTCTTTGGCAAATTTAGGTATTCTAAATAAATTAATAAGAATGATAAAGATATGCAACTCCAACACACTCTGCAAAGTCCGATGGCAAGGAGAACTATCCCCTCATTTCGAAGTAAAATCGGGACTAAAGCAGGGAGATTCCCTCTCTCCCATTTTGTTTAATCTCGCTCTTGAAAAAGTTGTCAGAGATGTAGGGGATGACCGAGTCATGGAGATTAATGAAAATATGACAATATTGGCTTATGCGGATGACGTAGTCATATTAGGAAATAGTCGTCAGGAGGTTGCACAAACTGTAGAAAAATTAATTGCATCCAGTCGGAATATGGGACTTATAATTAACGAAGCCAATACAAAATATATGATAATGGCACGCCACATGCCTACTATGAATGATTTGGTGGTCGGGCCATACACCTCTGAACTAGTCGATGACTTCAAATATCTAGGAGTAAACATCAATCATAAAAACGATATGCACAATGAAATCAAACTTAGGATAAACTCGGCGAATCGTGCATATTTCTCACTAAATAAACTGTTAAATTCGAGTATGTTATCATGGACGACAAATGGAAAAATGTACTTAGCTTACTTACGCCCAATAGTGACATATGCCTGTGAGACGTGGTCGACAACTCAAGGAGATGAGGAGAAACTTCTTATTTTCGAGAGGAAGGTGCTGATGAAAATATACGGCCCTGCGAGAAATGAATTAACTGGAGATTATGAAAGGAGAAAAAAATCCAACTTAGAATCGCTTTATAATAAACCAAATATTAAATGTTTTTTAAAAGCTAAACGTATGGAATGGGCCGGTCATGTGAGCCATGTGAGTCATGAGCTGAGGGAAGCATAATTAAAAAAGTACTGATTAATAACCTTACCAACAAGCGTCCCAGGTGAAGACCTCGTCAACGTTGGCGGGATAGATTAAATGCAGATATAAGAATGGTGGACGAAGCAGTATTTTAAGAATAAGTACTAAGCAGGCATAAACAGTTTAGTCTATCATAATTTTTAATAAGATATTTATGTATATTTAATAATTAATTTTACCCTTGGAATAATATAAAAGTAAATATATTTTAAGAAAAGTAAAATATTAATTCAAAGATTTTATATTTTGATACATTAAATCAGCGGTCCTCACCAGGATTTTAGAAAGGGCCAAATGTAATTTTTGAAAATTCCTTGCGGGCCGCTTACATTTTTAGTGATAATAATTTAAAATATAAAAATTATATATACATATATATGTATTATATATTATACATTTTGTTAGGAAAGGGTATTGTAGGAAAAAGTCACACATGTTTTCATTTATATTATTAGTACAGTATATATTTATTAAATTATTAGATTGATAATTTTTAATTTAGCTTTTGATTAATTTATTTGATTTAATGTTGTTTTGATGTTGATGGACGGTACCTCTCTGTTTGTTTTATGATCTTGTTTATGTCTACGGGTGTATTTGATGTTGACAACCGCAGTAAATCGTCCAAATGCACATCACTCAAACGATTTCTGTATTTGTTTTTTATAAATGTTAACTTACTAAAAGCAGCTTCACACAAATATGTCGACCCAAAAAATGTTAGAATAGCTTTTACATTTGATAAAAGGGAAGGATATTGATGTTCCTCAAGTGTATTCCAAAATTCCATTGCATTATTTTTATCATTAAAAATATATTTTAATGTTATGTCCTCCTGTAAGTCAATTAATTCGTTTTTCAATAAACCAATGTTATGATTCATAATATTAATTTCAAATATTTCTTTTGTAGTTACTGCCCACGGATTTTCAATAAATCGAAATGCATTTCTTAAGTTTTTAATATCATTGAAACGACTGTTCATTTCATTTTTTAAAGTGACCAATAGTTCAAGCAATTGTGGTTTTAAAGTTTCTATATCAGTATCATCAGAAAAAATGTTATTTTCTTTTTTCATTACATCAAAATTGGAAAAACTTGAAAAATCATTATCAGATACTTCTTCAATGTACATTTGAGCTTTTCTTCAAAAGCAAAAATCTTACTGGCCATGTGAGGGATAAGTTTCTTTTCTCCTTGTAGATTTGTTTGAAGTATATTTAAACTTTTTGTTACATCTGGAAGAAATGCAAGTTTGTACCAAAATTCTAATGAGTTTATTTCAGGAAATTCACCTTTTTGTTCGTGGATAAATAATTTATTTTCTTCACAAAGGGAAAAAAATCGTTCTAAGACTTTACCTTTGCTTAGCCATCGTACTTCAGTATGAAACATAATATCACTGTATTGGGAATTTAGTTCGGAAAGAAATTCTTTAAATTTTTTGTGATTTAAATCTCTAGCTCTGATAAAATTGACGATTTTAATTGCTTTATTCATGACAACACTAAAATCATTTGGAAATTTGCATGATAAATTTTCTTGATGAATAATACAATGGAAATTGATTAATTTTGGTTTTACAATTTTATTCTTAATAAGAGTAACAAGACCAGATTTAGTTCCAATCATTAAAGGACAACCGTCTGTACATATGGAAATTAAATTTTTCCAATCTATTTTATTTTTTTCAAAAAATGTTGAAATTGTTTCAAAATAATCCACACCACGAGTTTGGTTTTTCATCGGTATGACTTTCAAAAAGTCTTCTTTAATAATATTATCTTTTGAACAAAACCTAACAAAAAGTATTAATTGAGAAGTAGAGCTTATATCTACTGATGAATCTAATGCTAAAGAAAAAAATCGGCAATCTATTAATTCGTTGATCACTGAATCGAATACTTGATTTCCAAGATGTTCGATCCTACGAACACATGTAGCATCAGATAACTGCAGATTTGAAATTTGGTCACGTATTTCTTTAAAATTGGAAAAATTACAAAACAAAGTATTTACTACTGTTTCCATACAATTTTTTATTAGTTCGGCATCCGAAAATGGTTTCATGCGTTTGGCTAACATATGTGTTACTTCATACGATGCTTTTGTTGCAAGTTCATTTTTATTAGTGAACCGTAACATTGATTGTTTTTCAGAAAAAATTCCTTTTTTTAATTCAACTAGTTTTTCTTCTCTTATTTTAGATGGGTGGGGATAATTTTTAGAAAATTCCGTATGGTGAGTATTGTAATGACGATTAATACTATAACGTTTTGGAATAGTTATGGTTTTACGACAAATTAAACATAAAGCATCGTGTTTCTTACCAGAAATACAGAAAAATTCAATCTCCCAACTGTCTTGAAATATTCTGTGTTCATCTTCGATTTTACGTTTTGCCATGATAGAGAATTAACAGCTTACTCACAGAATCCTGTACTCACAATGTTAAAAGCACAGAATTAAATATTGTAACAATACGTGATCAAATACAAACGGACAATAAGCGATAACGGATAAACTGTTCACACAAGACTACGCAGCGGAAATGAACAAACTCATAATCGTATAGGTACCTACCTACTTATCTGTCTAACTGGTAATTCAATACAAGTTTAAAATAGAAAGATAAGATAAATAAAATGAACGATTTTGTTCACTGTTTATAGAATTTTGGATTTTAAAATGTACAATTTTATTTTAGTGCGGGCCGCACTAAATTTGTTAAAGGGCCGCATGCGGCCCGCGGGCCGCGTAGTGAGGACCGCTGCATTAAGTAGAACTAGAGAATGTTCATTAAATTAATTTATGCATAATTAACCATTAGTGGAAAATTAAAATTATAACACTTACCACTGTCACTTTCAGTTTCAATTGTTGCTGGATAAACCTTTTTGCTTTTTCTTTTTTTTTTTCACTGGACTTTCGGATTCAGGTGCAGACAAGAATAGTTCCTTTTCTTTCATCTTAGCATCCTCAAACGTGTCTACAATTTACAAAATTAAAAATTGTTAGTCGAAAGAATAGGTATATTAAATATAATGAAATTAGTAAACATTATTTTACCACCATATTGACATACCTAGCCACCTAGGTAGCGCACATTATTATAAATATTTTATATTTTTCTGTATACGCACCGTCACGGAGCTATTGAAACCCTTTTGTCGTTAGCTGGCCGTGCGACACTTGCGGCGGGTATTTGCGAGCTGCAGTGACTTGTGTGTCTAGGAAGAGACACTACGTTAACGGCAAAGATGGCGCGGGTACGAAAAGGCAATATTCGACCGGCCAAGCACGGACGTGCGGAGAGAACTGGTTGACACTCGACGTCTTGACACTTGACGGTTGTAGCCCGCGGCTGGCAGCCTGATCACTGGTGGGTGTGGGGGACGGGGTTCATCTTCGCGAATGTTCGATACCCGACGCGATGTCCCGCGGAGCAAGAGCGCCGTTGCACAAACAATTTTATGTTTTTCATTAAAATCTTAAATTTTGAAAATTAATTTGACATGTAGGTATCAAAACTTTTTTAACCAGTAGGTAAATATATAAAGTATGTCATATGTATAGGTAGGTAGGTAAGTATTAAAGTAAAAAATATAAAAATATATTTTTGATTAGTGAGTAAATTAATGCTGTTTAGAAGTTACAACATAAATATCTATTATAAGTATTCAATGGTTAATTAGATACTTACTGAAAATTTGTGAAACTTATCTACTGAAAAATTTGGCCAATCTAACTCTGGATAAGTTGCTTCCATAATCATTGAGTTCACTACACCGTATATTGGCCATTTAGATAAATTTACATTGCCGCAGTTTAAAATCCAAGTAAATGGTATCACAGAGTATTTGTTTTTCTTTGTAAAATAGCCTAAAATATACTGCAAAATTGTAAAATATGCATTCAAATTATAGATACATAATCATAAAGGTTAGGTAGGTATTTTAATTTATTAACTTGGTGCATGGTTGCATGAATAATACAATTTTACATTTTACATTTATCTATAGGTACAGACTATACCTAGGTAATTAATTGTTCCGGTTAAATGAATACCAATCTAATTTGAATTTAATAAAACATTGAAAAATAACATTTATTTTGTTATATTTAACACTTTCAACGCCGCTGACGCGTATACGCGTCAACAGAGTTTATTCCATTGGGCCAGTGACGCGTTTACGCGTCAGTAACATGTATGTTTGTATCCTCCATAATTTAATCGATTTTATTTTAATAAACTCTGAAATGTACACAGGCTATAGACAATAAACTCTATATTTTAAACTATAATTGGTTTGAGTTTTCGTTATTTTTAGATACTGATAATCGTTGTTTTTGACGGCCTTCCCAAAACGATGTATATGCACGTATACAGGGTGTATATTTGATATATTATGAATTCTTTTACTGATATTAATCATTTACAAATTATAACAATTATTATATCATTTGTAACATACTATATCATGCAATATGGCTACTTTGCCACTATTTAATTTGTTTCATTTCGCGTCATTTACGCAACTGTAACGGACGCCTGCTATTTTATTTTATCAAACAACTAGAGCAATTCATAATTATTTTGACGGTAAGTTATTTTATTACAATTTTATGTTATATAATTTTTATGTACTAGCTATTATTTACTTTTACTACGTATAATTACGTATTATTTTTATTTGAATACCATTGTATATTATATTTTTTGTTTCGTATAAATATATAATGAAAAAAAAACTTATGCCTATTGCATACCTTATAGAATACTTGATTTTATGATATATCATATCATTTTTTACCAACAACTTATTATTGTATTATTATGTAGACATTTTTTGGATCCTAGTATAAATATGGATAGTCAACCAGGACCATCACGAGAGAGGTCTCCAGTAGTAACGATGGGTAAGACGTTGACTGACGAACAATTATTGGCATTATTACAAGAGTCAGATGTAGATGATGGAGATAGTGATTTTGAAGTAGATACAGAGGAAAGCGATTCTGAAGATAATTTATTGACGGAGGCAGACATACCCGAAATAAGACATAGCATATCGGCTGAGCATTGGAGTTCTAATCCAGTACAGGTCCCATTAATTCCGTTTATAGGAAATGCAGGGTTGAGAGTACAGCCGAAAGGGCATGAGCCTATCGATTATTTTGATTTGCTAGTATCTGATGATTTTTATAATTTTATAGTAGAAGAAACTAATTTGTATGCCGTTAAAGTTCTTAGTCTTTCGTCTGACAAATCTAGGATAACTCATTAGAAAGATTTAACTACCGCTGAACTGAAAGTATTTTCAGTAAATTAATATAATTTTACATAAATAAATTATTACAATTTACTATTTAGCTGTTTTTATAATTTATAGGTACATAGTTTAATTAGATAAAAGTACTAATTTAAAAATTACTATTTCTTCAAAAACGTCGAAGTCTAAATTAGTAACTTCTATTATTTTTTAAGTATTTTTTTTAGCTACTTACTATAAAATGTATTATTTGCTTGTAATTTATATTACCGTTTTGGACGACATCGTGTATTTACTGTTTATCACTATAGACGATCGGTTTGTATCTGTTTGTGGTAACATACGTTGCGGTGTAACAGTATTGTACTAGGTATTGTTGCGACTGGACAGCTGCATACATCGTATTAAGTTATAACTTTGAATTTACAAGTTATACGCCAGTTTCACTTTTAAGTTTTAATTAAACTTTATTATTATAATGTGTAATACTTTAACACTCCGGCAAGTTCTTAAAGTACTAGTACTAGTACAACTAGTACGTTAACCCACCACTGCACGATTTTTTTTTTCTGTAAAAAAAAAATTTTCAAGTTTTGGTTTAAAATTTCAAAATTTTAAATTGTTCCATATATGGAACATTGTGCATACAGAGATGAGTATTTTATTCAAAAAAAAATTTTTAACTACAAATATAATTTTTACTCAGTACATTATTTGATTTGCAACATTGATATTTTTTATTCATTAAAAAATTAAAAAAACTTATAACACTATATTATAAAAGTAGAGAAGGTGAATAATATAAAAAATGTTATCATTGTGTGTAATGATAATCATAAAAACAGCCATTTGTTTTATTTAAACATGAGTATACTGTGCACTTTCGGCACATAATTGATGTTTTTTTGCCACAATCATTATTTTTGCAGCGTTATCTCTTGTCGGTTATTTTTGGGAGATGTGCAATCATGTAAACCCGTACGTTTATTGGTGGCTTAAATGTTTGATATCCTAGAAATATATAGTAATATTTATTTATTTATATTGAATAATCTAAACTAATTCGACTTATTACTTCGTTCTTTTTTCACTTTGTTCCGGTTCTTTTCGTTTCCTCCCTCTGGTTGGTGTTAGTTGTTCTCCAATTTTGCACAATGATACGGCTATTTCTTGACAAAAATCTTTTTGTGGCATATACTTTTCATCATTCTTAACTTTTTTGTATAAAATCCACGCATTAGCCATCGCAACATCAAAGAAATGATAAACATTTTAAAATACCATTTTTTGGACCTCATTCTGACTCTATATGGGGCGATATGGGCATCTAATAAATCTACACCGCCCATATGTTTGTTGCAAACACCAACGATGTTTTTACATGGCACCGTACTACACCTAACTACAGTTTGACTTCGGTTTCCAGTAATTTTCCAGATAAGGTTGAAAGTAATGTAATGCATTTATTATCTTTCCAAATCACCGCTGTAACTTCCGCCAAGCATTCAGAAGAAAACCTTCTAGGTTTCGTTTTTAAACATTTTTCATCCGGTAAAATGAGGCCATTAACTCTATTTCTTCGTAATGTGCCCAAACTGTATAAACCATTTTTTTAAAGTAAACTTCAAGAGCTAGAGTGGTGTAGTAGTTGTCAAAATAGAGTTTATAGTTTTGATTTATAGGAATAATACGTGCTAACCTGACTACAATATTCGCTGACGCTCATTAATTAGGTTCATTTTGCAGTCTTTGATCAGGGTTATTCTTCAGGCCTAAATAAACTTCAAAATTATATGAAAATCCCGATACACCACTCAGAACAAAAATCTTATAGCCCCATTTGTGCGGTTTTAGTGGTAAATATTGTTTTAAATAACTACGGGCCTTGGTAGGACAAATTTTCTTCAATAGGAATTGAATTGCATTTTTTTTTTTAATGATCCAACACGGGCCTTATTCGATGAAGACGATCGTAATTTTCATCGGACACGGGCAACGCGGTTTCATTATTATTAAAATGTAAGTACCTACGAATAAGTTCAAATCGCTTTAAACTCATAGTTTCCTGAACCATTGTATTTCCAAGCACACAATCCCAATAACTTCTTGTATTAGGTAAATGTACAAGCGACA